AAATGTCTTTGAAGATTATCAGTCATCCAGGTCATGGTTGTCCCCCCAAAAATATTTTTTTTCAAGAGGTAATGGACTTTCTGGGTTTTTTTTTTTTTAAGATGTTGGATGAGAAGTGAAATGTCTTCCAAAAAAAAAAAAACCCCAGAAAGTTGCCTCTTGGGAAAAAAAGCACCTTTGGAATTCAAAGATCAAGACATGACTCAACCTAGCGCGGTGCCCTCTAGCTCTGCCTTGCAGCTCAGGATGATGGGAGCTGTCATGCCAAAGATCTATAGATCAGTGGTTGCCAACCAGTGGGCTGGGGACCACTGGTGGTCCATGAGAAAACTTTGGTGGTCTGCAGAGGAATGCAATCCCCAAAGCAATTAATCCAGGCTGCGCGGGAACACAAGCCTGTGCTGCCCACATGGCCTGCGGGAACACAAGTCTTGTGTCGATTGCATTGCGAACAACATGAGGTAGTGAGGGGAGGGGGGAAAGGGCGGAGGGGGAGAACTTGCCCCTTACCCCTCGCACTTCACCTGGCCACCAGGGTGCTTCTTTCCACTTCTTTCTTCTTCTGCTTTTGTCTGCAAGTGAGGAAAGCAGCAAAAGTCTTTCTTTCTCTCCCCCAAACTCCGCCAGAAATGAGTCTTTGGGACCCTGCAAGGCCTCCTGCTCCAAGAGCAAAGATTCATTTCTGGCGGAGTTTGGGGGAGAGATAGAAAGACCTCTGCTGCTTCTGCTGCTTTCCTTGCATAAAGCCAAAAGTCTCTCTCTCTCTCTCTCTTCTCCGCCCGGAGTTGGGGACGGTATCCTGCAATCCCAAATAAAGAACAATCGATTGGTAGGAAAACGGGGTGGGGAATTTTCCTGCAGACTTTTTGGGGGGATTTTCCCAGGGTCTCTGGTCCATGGGATTTAAAATTATGAATTTGGTGGTCCCCGAGGTCCAAAAGGTTGGTGACCCCTGATCTGTAGGGTTCCTGGTTGGTTGCATTCAGTGATGGCCTTAAGTCAAGGACTACCTGTATAGGAATTGCTAAGAAGCTCCCGCCGGCATTTTCTGGATCAGGGTTAGCCTGGAGAAAGGATTTCTGAACTCAGACCAGGGATAGTGATCTGTTTACATTCCATAAATCCCCTCAAAACCAAGAAGAGGCTTCCCCTCCACGTTTTGCCCTTCCATCCCATGGCCTGGAGCCTCCGACGGGAAAAGTTGTGAAGTCCTCTTCTCCTTCCATTGCAGAACCTTCTTCAGATACCACCTATGGGATGCTGGTGGCTGATCTCTGCCACTCTCTGCTCACCGACTCCAAGGCGTCCCACCTTCTAACCCTTAGGAGCCATTTTGTCCTGGATGAAAACAGTTTCCCTCTGGAGAAAGAATTCCAGCTGCTGGACTTCCACCTTGACCTCTGAAGCAGCCGTTTCTGATGAGGTTCCTCACTCCATTTCACAATCATACTAAAAAGGCATACAACGGGGACAAGGGAACGGGGTTTTTGTTTTGTTTGCCTTGGAAGGAATACGTGTCCTTTTTATAAATGCATTTTGTACGATTTAAGAGCCATGATTTCTACAGACGGTTATTAAAAGCTACTCAAAAGAGGAGTGTGTTTTCTTTGCTGGGCTTTTATCCCCAAGACTCCAGCAATTTCCTGAGAGAGAATTAAAGACATCAGAAAAAGCTCCCTGCCAACGTTTTTAAATGTGTTGCCTAAAAGAAAATATTTTTCCTTGCCGCAGCCTTTTTCGTCAGCCGCAATTTTTGCCTTCGTGTCATTGCACCGGCTTATCTATTAGAAGTAAATACTGTAATGGCAGAAAAAGATTTTCTCTTTGCAAATGGTAGCTTCAGCTACCTTATCAAACCGCTGGCAGGAATGTCTACATCGCACTAAAAAAAAAAAAAACCTTTACTTCCTGGAGGAGATGTGCCAAATACAGTCAGCCCGCAAAACAAATAAATGCTTCAGGGAAAAAAAGGGAAAAATGGAAAAAAATACAGTTTAAATTATATACGTGATTAAAAGACACCAGGAAAAAAAAAATTATTTTTTAAGTCTCTTCCTCTGGATAGGCTAACACTAGAGATGAAAAATAAGGATGAATTGGACTATTATATAATTTGGAATAGATTTTACTATTGGTGGGGACAAAAGGAAGGGTTTAAGATTGAAAAGAGCTGTTTAGAGGACATCTGTGATCATGAGACTTAAACAATACCAAGAATGTTGGAAAATGTAAATAAGGATGATTAAATGTGTGTGTGTGTGTGTGTGTGTGTGTGTGTGTGTGTGTGTATTCATTCTTAAGTTTTCGCAGGTACTTACATGTATGGCATTCAGCTTTGTTCGGGTATTTTCCCACGTCATTGTAGTTGTGCTTTTAAAGTTGTAGCAACGTTTCGGCAGAATCTCATCTGCCATCATCAGGCTTCTGTATAGTGTTCATCTGTGAGTCAGGCTTTTACAGTGGTTTCAGATTTAAATTTGGGGCAGCCTATTGCTGTGCCAGAATGGTTTTTTCTTCACCCTGATTGGTTGGGAGTCTTGGTCTGTGTTTATTGGTCTTGGAGTTTGCTGTGTTCCGCTTGATTGGTGTTTCTAATATCTTCTGTCTGTTTTTTGGCTCTTTTTGTATCTTGATTGGCTGGCAACATTGTGTTACTTTATTGGAGGCCTTCCCTTTAATGCCTCCAACTTGGGCCCCAATGTCCAATTATCCTTGACTTTGATATCAACTCTTCCAAAAACAGTCTACGAAGAGAGTAAATGCAGTCTGAACCAAAAGTAAAAATAATAAGAAGTAAAAAAAAAACCAACACAAACCACACTGGAGTCATTAACACGGCAGGCCAGGATGATAAATTGCAGACTTCCACAAGATAACGCAGCAACCACAATTGGGAGAATGCCAAAACCCAGATAAGCCTCAACCAAGATAAAGCACTCTTTGCTTCCAGCAAAGAGCTATTTAAAATGCCCCACTTATATCCTGTTCTCCCAGCTGCAACTAATGAAAGGGATCAGGGCCTTTTCCTCTCCCGTAAGCCACGTTGCTCCCTGCGGGCCTTAGGATGAAGAGGGGACAGCCCTGGGTTTTCCTTTGAATGCCCAACCGGACTGTGCTCTTCCCTCATTTCTTCCACAGCCACCCAGAGCCACACTCCCACTCCCTGTCAGCTCCTCAATCTCTCCCTCCGAGTCCCTCCAACAAGGGCATGACACCTTCAAACATCCTACTGCGTAAGGCTACTGTTGTGTTCAGTATTGGAATTCCGAAACGCAATACTTGCGCGTTGAAAAGAAGGAAGACATGATTCAAGATAGACCTGGAACATTTTATTCTTTGTCAGCTCTGCCTTCCTATGATGCACCAACAATTATTCTTACCTATTTGTTTAGAACAATGTTTGTTCCATATACAGAAAACACATTATGAAGCACCCTGATTATGTAAACAAATCAAAATATTTTCGGCAGGATTACATTCGGGTCCTTGGAAAAAATATCTGGAAATTTAGCTTTACTCCCGATTGGCTGACGTGCTACCTATTGAGAGAGGGGTGCAAAGTGTGTGGCACACAGACCCATCCTACGGGAGGGAGAGAAGCAAGAATTGTTTGCTATACTGTCTGTGCATGATGAAAAGAAGCGGCAAACCCGAGGCAGGATCGAAAGTGCCCTGCACTGCCAAAATTGTTACCCGTGTGCCACATAGGATTTACACCTTATTTTATGGCATAGAGAGAGAGATCCTGGACACCCAAAGAATACTCAAGAGAGTATGTGGCTCCCTCCTTCAGTCCTCCGGCTTGAAGAACGAACGAAGGACCCAGCTTTTACCAACGATGGTAAATGGCGCCGCTTTTGCTTCACCCAATTCATCAAGCATGTGTTTTTTTTTTTTTGTTCAGTGACCAAGTCACTAGGGTTTCTTCCCTGCCCCAGCAGCGTCCCCTCCCCAAAGCGCAGGGGGAGTCCACCCCCAGTGGTCGTCCTCCCTTAGTTGTTCATGAGCCCCTTCAGGAGATCTTCCGAGAGCTCCACCAGTGGGAACTCCGGGGAGGGAATGTCCAAGGGGGGCAGGCTGGGGATGGGAATGTCCTTGCCCTTCCCGGCACTGACCGCCAATTTCTGCCAGGGGCTGGTGGCGGAGGCGGCAGGTTCCGAAAGCTGCTGGAGGCCCCACAGCTCCGACTTTTCCACAAAGTCAGCGTCTGCATCCAGCTCCTTGTCCAGGGGAGACTTCAGCAGCCTGGCTCTCTCGGCTTTTAACTGCCGGTTCTCCCACCTCAGCCTCTCGTTTTCGGCAAACAGCATCTCCACGTGCTGCTCCAGGAGTGCAATTTTGGTGGCCTGCTCTTCCATCTTCATCTTGTCGTCCTTGGGAGGCCTGTTCTTCACGCCCACGTCCAGGGGAGGCTCCTTCCTCTTCTGAAGCAGAAAGAGCAGCGTGTCCGGATCCCTGTCCAAGACCCTGTGGAACCCCTTCGCCTCCTCTGAGGAGGGCCTGCACTTAAGGCTGGCAGGTGTCCCATGTTGGTCCTCGGCTTCCTCGGCGGAGGGCTTAGAAGAGCTCTGCGCGTGGGCCACGCTCTCTCTGTCCGCCAGAGGGCGGGCTTTTAACCTTTCGTCCCTTTTTGTTCTTTTCCATCGCTCTTGGATGAGGGGGATCTGTTTGAGGTGACTCTCCCTTTGCAATTCCAGGGATAACTGGGCCTGCCGAGAAACAAAAGGATAAGCCGCCTTTATCCGCTACTCGGGGAATAAAACAAGTTCTGGCATCCGAAGAACCACAAGTTCTCAAGCTCCCGCCAGCTGGTGCAATGTAACTCCAGTTTTAGAAGCCAGTTGGGGATAAAATATCAATACATCTGCATTGTAAGAATAAAGCCATTGCTTTGAATCAGGGAATAAACGTTTTTTTTCCACAATGCCAAGTTGAGTTAGACACAAGCTTTTTCTATACATGAACAATAAATCATAAATCTGGCTTCTATCCCCTTTTTCTTTTATTTAAAATTCATCTTCATGTATACTGGAATACTGCATCCAGTTTTGGTCACCATAGTAAAAAACATGTTGCAACTCTAGAAAGAGAAGAGCAACCAGGATGATTAAGGGGACTGGAGACTAAAACATATGAACTGGGCCTGGCTAGTCTAGAGAAGGACCAGGGGAGACATGATAACAGTCTTCCAATATTTGAGGGGCTACCCCAGAGAGGAGGAAGGGGTCAAGCTATTTCCCAAGGCACCTGAAGGCCAGACAAGGAACAATGGATGGAAACTGAACTAGGAGAGATTCAACTTGGAAATAAGGAGGAATTTTCTGACAGGGAGATCAATCAACCCATGGAACAGAAGTTGCCTTCAGACGTTGTGGGAGCTTCATCACTGGAAGCTTTCAAGAAGAGACTGGACTGCCATTTGTCAGATATAGTGTAGGGCCTCCTGCTTGGGAGGTGGGTTGGACTAGATGATCTACAAGGTCCCCTCCAACTCTGTTAATCTGTATCTGTATGCCAAGCAAGCAATGGCAGCACATAAAGCCAGTCTTTCCGTCCAGACTGCAGCTGAGAAAGGCTGGCCTTCCTTTTTGGAGAAGCTGGCACCAGCCACGCCCACCAAGCCACGCCCACAGAATCAGTAGTAAAAATAAATGGAATCCCACCACTGCCTGTCCCCAATCCCCACCCACCCCCAAAACAGCATCAACTGCAGCCCAGGTTCCTGGCCGGGATCAGAGTCACACCAAGGGACCGTTCACTGCCGAGAGCAGCCATTGAGGAGGGGAGCCTCACCTGATCTGATTGAGTCAGCTTCATAGCTTCTTGAAGGTATGCTGCAGGAGACACAAAATGGTGACATGGTTTAGAGGGGCCGCTTTTGCGCAGCTGCCCTTTCCTTCCCCCCCACCCCCACCTAAAGCGAACTGGAGGATGGGGGACTTTGGTCCGACTGGGGCTTCTCCAGCCCCTTGACGGAAAGCCCAAGGCAGGACGAAAGGTGCCCTCTTCGTTTAAAAGGGGTCTCTTCCCCCGCCCGCCCAACATGGCAACTTTTGATAAGTGAATGGAAAATCACACTGTGAATCTTAAAAGCTATATGTGAAATATAACTCTGGCAGCCAAACTGCTTTCTGCAACCCCTTTAACCAGCATCATTCCGAGAAGACCTGCACCGCTCTCAACTGGAAGCTTTAGGACAACGGACTTAACTGTCGATTCCCTGTAAGAACTGTGATTCTGGTTCCAATGACACACTTTTTTATTTTGATTTCATTTATACCCCCCTTTTATTATTTTGATAAATAACTCAAGGTGGCAAACACAGCTAATAGAGCCTTGGTGGCGCAGCGGTTAGATTGCAGTACGGCAGGGCTACTTCTGCTGCCTGCTCTGCAATTTGGCAGTTCAAATCTCGCCAGGCGCAAGGTTGACTCAGCTTTTCGTCCTTCTGAGATGGGTCAAACGAGGACCCAGATTGTTGAGGGCAAAAGAGGCTGACTCTGTAAACCGCTTAGAGAAGGCTGTAAAGCACCATGAAGTTATATATAAATCTTAAGTGCTATTACTATTGCTAATACACCTCCCTCCTCTTATTTTCCCCAAAACAACCAACCCGTTGAGACGAGTTGAGACGAAAGAGAGTGACTGGCCAAAGTCACCTAGCCGCCAGTCAAGCCAAAGGTGGGACTAGAATTACCAGTCTCCAGGTCTGCAGCCCGTTGCCTTCACCACCAGCCAACTTTGCACTGTGATCCTTACCCCTGACCCAGTAAGGATCTCGCCTACTTACCACCCCCTTTTGCGCTGACTTAACTTCTGTCCTAACAAGGATGTCTGGGGGATTCGAGCAAATGTCCACAATGGCTCGCTCACCTGCTGCCTTTTGGTGACAGGAAACAGCCTCTTCATACTTCCCCACGGCCAGCAAGTGGTCAGCTTTCCTGCTTTGCTGATGAGCCTACAAAAAGCCCAAACCTTTAAAGCACCGGGAGAGCAGGTGGCTGCTTTGAGTGCCTCTAACAAGAGAGACAGAGCTGCAGATTAACTGACCACCACCCCCCGCCCTTGGGATGGCATGTACATGACTTGCTTTCTACCAAAGAAGGTAAAAGGATCGCCTGCCCAGATGCCCGCTGTCTGGGCACAAGGCTAAGAGAACTTGCAAAATGGCTCACAAGACAGGAGGAGCAGAATAAAACAAGAAAAGTAAAAGGATACTAGAGAGAGGGAGAGAGCAAGAGAGGGAGGGAGAGAAAGGGAGAAAGAGGGATAGGTGGAGAGGGAGGAAGAGGAGGAGAGACAGGAGGGGAGGGAGGGGAGTGATGGAGAGAGGGAGGGAGAGGAGGAGGGAGAGGAGGGGAGAGGGAGGGAGAGAGGGAAGGAGAAAGGGAGGGAGGGAGAAAGGGAGAGAGGAGGGGAGAGAGGGAAGGAGAAAAGGAGGGAGGGAAA